ACAGGCAGCCGAAAATATTTACCTTACTCTTCTGTAAGTTTGCCGCCAGCGCTGTTCCTCGTATTCCCACTGATGTTTTTCTTTCCCCTGCCCTGCTACTTACATCATGGGCGAGGAAAATGAGTTTGGGAGAGGCAAAAAGGAAGGAAAAGAAAAACTAACTTCTCGCATCTTACTTTGTTAAGGCTTCCCTTGTTTTCGGTTTATGTTCCTTTTTTATTTTCCTTATACTCTCTTCAAGAAGGGTCATCAACTTTTTGTCAGGAGCGGCAACCAACGAATGTTCCAAACATGTTCCGCAAGACCGGCGCGGGTGAACTAAGGGAATTTCGTGAATTTTTCCCCAGAACGCTTCCCTCCATTACAGAAACTTGATCTGATCTCAGAATTGTATATGTATATCGAATCGGACGGATGGTTATGCTTATCAAAAATAAAGGTACTTTTTTCGTAGGGTTAAAAGTTTTCCCAATGAAGGGTATTTTTAGTTTCAACGTGACCACTCTTTCATCCCATCCTAATGTGTTCCTTGCTTTTGCCGAGCGAAACAAATTTCAAACTTAATGAGGGTCAAACAATATTTTTGTTTTGGAGCTTGGGACAACGTTGTCTGCCATCCCCGACGCTGGCGCTCTTGTTGCGCGATGTTTTCCTGACTACAAACAATATTATAACATGTAAATATGTACTTGCATACATGTACATCGGTAAATACATCCATAGCACAGTTTAACCTTTTTGAAGCCAGTCGTCTCGACTTTGTCTGCGTTCAGTCCTATTTGTAACATTCTACAAAATCTGCAAAACAAAAGAGGCCTTATATCTGGGTAACATATTGTAGAAACTCTTGTATTTTTGCCACCCAGTACAATAAGTAAATGCATAAATGCGTACACATGTACATATTAACTTAAATCAGCAGTTTTCATACTATGTCTGCAATACTCCGTAACTCAACATTTTGTCAAACAAAAATGTTCTCTTTGAAGTTCAACTGCATTTTTGAATGAAAGTTTTGTTATTCTGTTCTGTCATGAATGTGTTGTGACGATGTTTTAAATTTGCTTGCAAGCCTGGTCTAAAATCAAATTAAAATTTTCGAGCTTCTGAAAGCATCTCAAACCATTCCCAAAATGTTTTCATATTTTTCAAATGTGGATTAGGCAACTTTTTGTTTAGGTTTTATAAGCAAAACAAAATATAAATATCGCATGTAATTGCAGTGGAAATTTCAACTTATCAGTACCTAAACGATAACATTAGTAATTTAAATTTGCAAGTGCCATGGATCAGAACAATAATTTAGCACATTGCCTAAAACTAAAATACCAGTATTGAATACCAAAAAGAGAATGGTAGCCGATTTAAAATATGGGGCAGCCGCTACTCAACCAAAACTGTGTCGTGTTCTTGCACTGAATAGAAGTCCAGAGTCTTGGCATTGTTATCCAGGGGAACCACCAGCTCGGGATGCTTGGCATCATGGTAACAAAGCTGGGGAACGATGTCAGTCAGCCGGAACCGCTTCATGACCAGTCCCTGCAATGTTTGCACTGTTATCATTCGCGGCACTTTCTTCTCCCAGATCTCGCCGGTTGACTGATGCACTATGAAGAGCTTGATCAGATTCGATTTCTTGACCTGTATGCCGGGAACAAAGTCCGCCGGAGAGCCATACTCTAGATAGTGAGAGAAAGGCCAAGTTTAAAAATGCTAATCGATTGATATAATAGGCGTGCGTACTTTTAACTAGGAACGGATAGGTGCGATGCTTTCTGCAGAACTCGCGTAAAGCATCTGCTCCTTGTTGCGTCGCCTGCATCCATTCCAAGGAGTATTTCTTCCAAATATCGTACTCGGCGCCACGCCTCTCCCCCGCAGTGACTTTAGCTTTATTAATAAACTGCAAACCTGCGATGCAGCCAACAGCTTTGGATACCATTTCATCAAAGTTTGACTTCAAATGCGGCGTCTTGCAAAGATGATTCAACTTCGGCAGCTTATCCAACTCGTTGAAGGCAGCAGCCTGTGGTAGACATGATTAAACAGTTAATGCAACAGATCAAAACCGATCGTTGGCGCTTACCTCATTCCAAATGGGATTGTGCAGTAGGTTGAGTTTCTCCAGCGACACGAACATGTTGAGTTTGTCCTGAGGCTCACATTCGGGCAACTTAATCTCTTCAATTCCATTCTCTATGAGATTCAATGAGCGCAATGTGGTGATATTGCTCAACTTGACAACTTGATCAAAATCCATAAGATTTGTTCGATGCAAGTCAAGTTCCTGCAGCTGAGTGAAAATCCGCTTGCAGTCGACCACAGCCAGTTGACTTAGAGGGTTCTCTTGCAGACTCAACGACACAATGTGCGGCCAGAGTAGGGCCGTCTGCATGACATCCTTCCAGTCGGTGAAGCCGCAACTACTTAAATTTATGTGCTTCAGATGACGGAAGGCAGGCTCCAACTCCGCAATTTGTGATGCCGAGGGCAGGACCAAGCGATTAGAGCTAAACAATTAAGTCATCAACCGAACAAGTAAGTGATTCGAGCGCTGACTCACCTAAGATTCAGATTCTTCAAGGTTGGCAGCTGCTGCGTTATGCTGGCCACTGTCTCCCAGTTCCAAATCAACGTGTGGTTCACATTCAGCGTCGTCAGCTGCGTCAAATCCTTCAGGTACCCGGCCGCATTCACTGGCGTCTCATCGACGCTCACCTCCGAAAGTTGCTCGAACTTGCTTTGCTTTCGCGCTATCTTGTCCATGCCCACGACCTCGAATAACGAGGCCTGAAGACTGGCCTGGGCCTCCCGAATGAGCGATTCATCCACATTGCTCGAGTCGTAGTTCAGATACCGCTCCCGGGCAGCATCCTCCAGGCTCGCGCAAGGACCCACCTTTCCCGGACGTATGAAACTGCCGGCGGTGGGCATTTGCGTTTGAAAGTAGCGCTTGCCATCCACAATCCCATTGTGCTTGCCTCGCATGCCGTCATCCCACTCGATGCCCAGCCAAGTGCCTATGTGTCCCATCACCTGCAAAATGCATCGTTGGAATCATGTCGTAAGCCAATGTGTTTTTTTTCTCCCTTACCTCGCCCACATATCGCACTGTTCCGTAGTTGTTTGCTATTTTGATGCGTGTTCCCAGGGGATAAAACAGCTGCGTTTCATCAATAATTCCGACCATTGTTGGTGTTGTTGTTTACGCGGCGCCCACACAAATTCACACACACAAACGCACACAACACTGCTTTGTGTTTTTCCGTTTACAGTTTCCCCAAATTGGCTACGACTTGAACCTCAGCAGAGTTTTTCCCGTTTTCACACGGACAGCGGCATTCGTGAGGTAATTATAAAACCTGTGGATTTTTTCTGCAATCCAAGTTACTTTATTTATTTTTATTATGATACAGCTGCAAGCCAACGATAGTTCTATCGATATGAATATTTCGTTTGTGGGTAGTACTATCGATAGAGCGCACGTTGAGCGCAAAACAACGAAGAATAATTTTCATCTCTCTTTTTGGTTTTGCGCACAGTTTTTGCCTACATCCTGCACCACTCACTCCAGGAAGAATTGTAAAGTATGTATTCCTGAGCTGAATATCAGCTGTTCTCTCAGTCCACACACGGTCCCGATAGGCAACTATCGATATAAATCTGTGGATTCCGCTCGTGTTGCTGGTTACACATTCCAGGAATACGTAAACGAAACAATCCTGTCACAGTTTGACAGGAATTTTTCGATTCCGCAGTGCTGGATACTATGCTTAAAGCTGGATTAATTATTTGTTAAATATAAATTTAATTAATTAAATTAATTATTATAATTAATTATTCCGTTAATAATTATGGCATTGGGTTGTATTGTCTTGTGGTATTCCTTCTGGGAGTCGATCCCAAGTTGGATTTACGGAGCTAGCACTCAGTCCAGGGAACCTGGTGATGGGAAAATGGACTCCAGGGAGTGGGAAAATGGTAGTCCAATGACATTTTATTTAATGTTCCGCAGTGCTGGATACTATGCTTAAAGCTGGATCCATTATTTGTTAAATATAAAGTTAATGTTTTATTTAATGTTAAATGAAATTCATTTGAAAATCTTTTGTTTTAAGAGTAATCAATATTCGGCTAATCTGTAAACCATGAATCGTTTTGGACAAAACGCAATCTTATCAACCCGTTACTCATTTAAGTGCCAATTTAAATAGATAGGCTTTTATACACACACCACCACGTAAATTATGACTATCTGTTGATGCACATTATTAATACGGGCATGTGTAATTAAATTGTTTCTGCATTCGACTAATGCAATGCATCTACCCCAGTCGCTAGTCTTTTGTTCTTTCGCTTTATTCGATTGGCTTCCTCAGTCGCTTTGTCGTCTGTTGTTCCTCTTCGCAATTTACGGTTAATTGCAGTTACGTGTGTTCTCTTGTCGGTAACGGTAACAGCCTGGCCAGTCCCGGGACCTGTGAAATTTCTTGTATTTGTAAGGTCAAAATACCGAGTCAAAATTTCACTTGGGTAAATAGTTTCAATAAAGTGTATGCATAGTAAATAAAAGTATGATTTGGCTACATGGGTATTGCACGCCGGAAATATTACGATGCCATGAGTTCTCTGGGTCACTCTCGCAGCCACTAATCCAATTTGGGTCCGACAGTTGTCGCGTCCGATTCTCAGTCATTATAAGTGCATACGCCATCCAACACATATATAGTATGCAGGCGTATGTACACTGTACACACATATATACATAGGAATATCATATGTTGCAAAACCTACACCCACCCTCCCGTTCACAACCGTTTGCGTATGAATTTTTGGCGCCCAATTAAACAGGGAGAGAGAAAAACATAGCTAAATTCGTCTCTCCGGAATGCTCAGTACTAAGAGAGCGAAAGCTCACTCAAGGACAATGAATGGCAGGGGAAACGTGACTACCAGCTTAGGGAGGGACCGAACAGCCGCTACACGACTTGAACGGCAGTCATCTCGACAATACGCAAACATCGTCCAACAGAAACGCCCGTCGGCGCGTTATATACCCACTTCACTCTCCGCGTTTATTCTTGTCCAACAATTGCATCGTAAATGCAGAAAATTAAGTGAATGCAGATTGTAGGGAAGCGCATACGACAATTAGAAAAATGCGATAATGGAAAATTCTGGACTGTAGCGTGAAAAGTTCGTCGGGTTGGTGATTATTAGTGGGTTCGAGGCGAGCTTTGCACAATACCACGTGGCAATCCCAAAAACATCCCACATCGTAAAGAAGAGGTAATTGACGGAAAAATATAGGCTGAAAAACGGAATAATCGAATAGACAATGTGGAAAATGTGTCGCCCCCATTATCTGGGGCCGCGGGTTCCGCTGTAATCTGCGCACAGCTGAAAAAATAATTGTGCGACCGGCAGGCGGCAAACAAATAACAACTGCAGTGCTTTTTTAATCGGGTGGTTTGTGTGAAAGCTTCTTTATTGTCTTGGTGGTGGGTGGTGTGTGGTCTGTGGGTTGGTTTGGTTGTTAATCACAGCCTTAGTGTTGTTTTAGTGTCCTGACTTTGAAAGCTTTGCTCTCAGCCGCGTGTCCTCAAGCTGTGCTCTCCTGCTCTTGACAATGAAAAGCACAACGTCAGTGGAGGAAGACCAACCTTTCCCTCTGCCACTCTCCTTCGCTTTTCCACGCTTGACCAGACCAATCGTATTGTGTTTGGTTTCCCATTGCTTGCACCTTTCAAGTAGATCATGCGACGTCGCGACTGCAGTGGCGTGATTCAGAGGCAGAGCAAAGGCAGGGCAGGTGTAGGTAGGTTGTCCCTCAAAAGTGTGCTTCTAAAAATGTTGCGGGCTAAAAATACATGCGTGGCCCCGCCGCTGCGGTAAGAAACACTCGGAGATATGCACACATGCACCTTATCCCAGCCGGTTCTTCCTAAAGGGTGGTCGGGAGAAATGCTTGGTGGTGCGGCGAGGTGGCCTTCAGGTCTTGGCGTTTGGCCAAACCGACAGCTGCGGCAACTGTCAGCGCTGAAATGATTTCATACTCTTTCATTGTGTCTCCCCCGGCGCAGTGTTCAATTTATTTCACATCGCATTTTCCCCCCAAGAGCTTACCTTCGCTCTCCTCCCACACTGCAGCGTTCCTGTTAGTCGGTCTGGCCCAAAAAATAATCAACAAGCAGCGCAGTCACAGGGCGAGTGCCAGTGCTGTACCACGCCTCTGCCTTGGCAGCTAGCCAAAGGGGTGAGATTCCAGTGGTAATTGCATTGGAAGGGTCCCAAGTCTGCTAACCGCTATTAATCGTTCTTTTAGAGTTCCACGACTTCCGGCAAACAACATAGAAAACGTAGCAAACAAACAATCTGCCTGTTTCAGCCAGAAAGAAAACCGCAGTGCAGGTGGTTCTGCTTGGGTCCGGTTGGGTTTACCTGGTATGGGTTCGTATCCATGGATTTTTCACCGCTTAGACGCAAACACTACCCCCACCCTTGTTTACTTTTGCGGGGTGGAAGGGAAAGCAATGGCTTTCATTCAGCGTAAACGCGTGAGAAACTAATTTTAGTTAGGTTTCATGCTCTTCCATTCAATACTAAAATCAATTTCCTACACCCATATGGCAGTCCCTAAATATTCTTTGTGCTTCCGTGAAAACATGTCCAAGAGTATTCCAATTTTTGGGGCAGTGGAACGTCCAGTCTTGGCCTTTCAGCGACACGAAATACTGTTCATTTGTAATGCAGAATCTAAGGACATGGGTTGGACAGAATCAATAAGAAATGAGCTCAAAAGTCAATATTATTTACAGAACCTGAAATCAAAAGCAGAACTACAATGGAATGGGACTGGAGTTGGGCCGTTGCGGGCATCACCCCTGAAGTTCCAAGGACGACGGGGCCTGAGTGCATTAACTATATGACGGATCGGCGACGCTGGATAGAGACGGTGCTGCTGTCGGCCCTCTTCATCTTTATTATGCACAGGTCCTGGAAGCGTCTGGCTCCCATTAACCTGCCGCCACTCCATGAGATTCAAAAGTCACACAGTCCCACGCGACTGTTCCTCCTGATCGCCATGTCCATGGTGTTTGGCATTGAGATGGGATTCAAGCTGTCCGGCCAGTCAATGATCTTCGCCTTGAATCCCTGCCACGTGCAGACGTGTCTGCAGGTAAGTTCTGCTGCATTAATGAACCATGCACACCACACACCATCTAAATATAATGCACTCATTTCAGATCTATCTTCTGGCCGCCAAGCCGACAAGGACAACTACGGCAATGTTTCGGATACAAATGAGCAACCTGAACGGCCCTTTCCTGGCCTTTCTCTTTCCCGAGGTGGAGGGGCGCACGTATCCCTTCGAGCAGTCCACGTACTGGATACAGCATGCTCTGCTCTACATTATACCCATTTACATTATACGAAGCGGTAAGGAAAGGACTTTTGGAGGTGTTTCCCCCGCTAAACTGTAACTGTTGCCCACTTTCAGGCGCGTACACCGTTGAGGACCTAGGCGACTTCCATTGGTCACACATTGGAACAGCTTTCATGCTGTTTTATCATTTCATTTTCCTATCCCCACTCTCCATAGTAAGTCGATGAATGGCAGCTACGTACAACGTTATTATCCCTCTGGTTTTTCTTTTCTAGTTTACTGGCATCAATCTGGATCACATGCTGTGCGCAGCCATGTCTGATCCATTTCAGGGCCCCAACTACAGACTTTTTGCTTGTTGCCATCAGGCTTTGCTCTGCCCGCTGCTCAGCAAGGGAACCGTACTCTTGTTCGGTCGCCGGAAGAGCGCCTCCGGTGAGAATGGAGCGAGGATGAGGAACGTGGGTCGTGAGACTTTGCCCGCGGCGGGGACGGAGACTCAGGCTGCCATGTATCATCAGCGTGCGCAACAGGAGTACGGCACAGCAGAGGAGGCCACAGAGACATTAATGCGGCATCGGTACAATGCTCAGGCAGCTTCGGCAGCCTCGGGTGGAATGCATTCGCATGATGCGGACGAAATGGCGGCCATATACGACGCTGCTGAGTATAGAATGCCCACGACCAGGATCGACTAGTCCACAGCAAAGGAGAGGGCCGAGCAATGGATATCGTATATTGTATGCCCACAATGTTTGTCAATTCTTGAATTACTTTAGCAACTTTCGGTCTGGTCTGGTCCGGGCCACGCTCTGTAGTTAGACCCCGTCCCGTAACTCCATATACAGAAGTAACGAGGATTTCATCTGATCTGTGAACTGAGAGGTAGAGAGGTTGATCAAAAGACGTGTACATATGTATGTACATACAATTAATGCTACAAATTCATGCTCACTGAGGTTATAATTCCAAAAAAATTTACCAAAAACAGTTTTAAAAGATTATATTTGTTCAGTAGAAACTTATTCTGATGAAAAATCAATTATTACAACATTGCAATAAATCATAATTATACAAATTACACAATAATGTACTATATTTCTGTAAGTGTGCCTGCCGTAAAGTGAAAATAAATAAATAATCAAAAAAGAATAGACTGTTAACTGAGAACGAAACATTCATGATTTTTCAACAATCACAAAATCGGATGTGGCCCTCGAATATTATTATTTTCAAAATAAAGGTATGTTACCGCCGAATTCGTTCCGCTTATCGCACAAAAGTACCGATATCGATAGGTTGAATGCAAGAACATACATCGATATATTGATATAACCATATATTTAACATCCCTAGTGCCGTGTGTTTACATGGGAAACGGCAAAAAATTCTTCCCCTAATAAAAAAAAACGTGCTAAATAGAATATTAGAAAGAACGATTAATTCTGGCCCGCTATTTGTTCGCACTAAAATAACGTGAAATATCGAAATATATTCTTAAACTTGCGGTCAAATTTTTGTTGCGCCACAGTAAAATACGAAAAAAGCGAAGGAAACCAGAAGAAAAGTGCTTAATCAAATGAAAGAATCATTTCTTGTGCTTTGAGTTATGATAATTTGATAACAATAAGCAGCGACGGTGCTGAATTTCCATTTAATTGAAAGTTCGCGGTGACAGCGACGTTGACGTCGTAGATTTTAATAAGAATAAAACGCCAATGTGTTTGTGCCGCTATGTGTGAGTGTGTGTGAGTGAGCGTTGAAGATGCGCGAAAACGTCAATTAATTGCAACAACAACAAAACGTGGGGCCAAAAGGTGCGAATGAAGCGCAAGAAAAAGAAAAATCAATAGAAATATAATGCAAATCGTTGGGGATTTCAGCAAGTGCTAAGGAAAATGTACCGATATAGTGGAAATCAAAGCGATAGAACAAAAACCGCAGCAACCAAATCAACGCTATTAATAAACATAAATAATATCTCTTTGGGAGCGAGCGCTGCGTCGACGTCGGCGTCTCGCCTACGCAGATGATGCGTTGCATATGCGAAATTGCGTAATTTGCCGCAACTAAATTGTACAAATCTGAGGAACGCCATAAAACACAACTAAAGTTTGAAACAAAGTTCGTGGCCAGAGTCGAGTCGAGTCGCCGTCGCTCCTCTAATTGTCAGTGTGTGTGTGTGTGTGTTTTGGCCCAAGTTCATTCTCGTATCTGTGTGTAAGTGAGTGTGAGCGCAACAACAACATGGCTGCCGCAACAGATGGCTCTGCCAAAGCAGCAGCGGCTGCTGCGTCGACATTGCCGCGTACAACAACCACATCGACGCCGAGTGCCGGCAAACCCCCAAATTCCGCAGCATCAGCAGCCGCATCATCTGCCTCCTCCTCATCTAGCACGTCGTCAGCGTCAGCAGGGCTGCCGGCCGCCGTCTCGCATTTCTACTACAAACACGGCCTCTTCCTGTCCAGCTACCCGACATGCGCCTCCAGCATAGCCTTTATGGCGATTTTACTTTCGTGGTTAGTCGGATCATACTGAAATACTTACATATATGTTCATACACATGAGCAATTCGGATTATATAACTGAACCAGCAGGGCGAAACTAAAAAGCGACGCGACACCCAAACGATGAACTTTGGAAAATAATCAATAGTTTGGAAATATGTAGTATTCAACTAAGGCTTTAGGTGTGTTGTGTGCTTCCTTAATCTGTAGTTAATACGGCACTCCAGGCCAGGCACAAGGCACCAGGTCACTGAACAAAAGCAACAATACTCGATTATGGCAAACTGCACTCAAAGTTTGATAATATTATTGATTATGAGCGGAATTTGTTGAACCCCACACACTGGGTGTTCGGCATGCGCCCATATAAATAAATACATATGCATATGTACCTTGTATATGAATGTAGATTATAATTATGACATATTGAAAACGGATTTGTGGTGAGCAAAACTTACCTATTGATAAAGTAAACAATTAAAGATCTGGGCCAGCTGCCCTTGGACCCCGCTTGATTAGGATTTCATACGGTTGCTTTTTATACATATTTATGTACTACCCAGCAGTATTTTGATTTTGCTTCTGACCGGGAAATAAACAATGTCTAGACTTGCCGCAAATATTCTATTCGCCAGATTTGAAGATTACTAGAAAACTATTAAATAGCAATCAAATAAGTATTTCCAGCACTTTGGATTTGTTCTAGGGTAGGTGGGGAAGAAGACCGCAGAAGGATCACATTTCATTGCTTTCAGTAGCTCTATTATTGCGGGGAAATTGCTGAAGGCGGATAGATGTCAGCATTTCCCCAGCTTACTCATAGACCAAACCAAATCAGATCGCGCTGTCTGTAAGCGGGATCAGCGCAATCCGATACCTGCGCTTATCAGCATCGGGGTTTGTTTTTGGGACCTGCCGGGTCTAGTAATAGGTACTTATCAGGACGCTTATCAGTGGCCAGCGACGTGGTCGCATTAGTGTTGGCTTGGCTTGGGCGCAGGCAAATGGTAGCATTGCTGCCAGGCACCCGATGGCCGATGGCCTGCTCACCATGAATTCATTAAAATTTAAATCGCGAATCATATTTGTATATGTACATATGTGAGTTTTAGCGCCGGCGATTGCGCGAGCAGTGGGAATGCTTGGGACACGCGTTAGATGACGAACCGACGAGATCCAACACGCGCCAGTTCTTAAAATAGCAAACCAGTCGAGCACTAGGGCTAACCACCACGCCACCCTCTCCTCTTTCTCTTCTGATAGCTATCCGCTGATCAACATACCGTTGCCGGGAACCATACCCACAAAGATAGTGCTGCCCTACGAGGCGGACTCTCTGTTGGCCTACAATCATAGTGGAGCGTCGACGCCTTCCGTGGCCCCGGTCGGGCCCGATCCGCCGCCTGCTGCCGCGACACATCTCTTCAATGGAAGTGCCACAGACCGCAGCCTGCCCCCGCTGCTGCCCTGGGCCCAGAGCAGTCCAGCCCTATTCTACGTCCAGCAGATCACACTCCGAGCCAGCGTGCTGCCCTGGAGCGATGGGATGCAGCTAATGGATGCGTTTCGTGCGCCACTCTACGAAGTTTTTAAATTGCTCGAAATTGTGCGCAATCATCAGAGCAGCGAGACGTGAGTACCGTACCCCTATACGCCCCGCCACTGTCAGCACGCTGTCAGAGTAATTGAATCAAATTTCGTCCACGTAATCCTCCACAGCCAGCGCACTCTCGAGCACAACTGCCTTCACGTGGAGAACGTGAAGCGCGGGGTCCAAGGGCAGCTGGATCAGATCTTTCCCGAGTATGGCTGTCTGCTGCTCTCCCCGGCCAACCTCTGGACGCAGAACGCTCAGAACTTTACTAGAGACACGAATATTCTGAACACGATATTTCAATATCATGTAAGTGGTCAAGCATCCGCATCCGCACTCGTACCCGTAGCCGTAGCCGTAGCCATAGGAGATGGAGCAGCCTAATGCGTTTTGTCTGTCCATTCGAATTGCATGCACATAAACCCCAAATCGTCCAAACACTCGTGTCTGAGTGGAAAATGGGTTGGCTTAACCCTTGGACGCTGCGCGTGTCTTATCAGTCAACATTTGGGTTTTTAACGATTACGAATTTGAAGCTGAGTCACACGGAACATGAATGTGGCACCCGCCACCTGTTGGATTCGGAATCTACAGAATTAGAGGCAGGAGGGAGCCGAGCCGCCTGCAGTCCCTCGGCATTTGCGAACTGCAAACATTATAGTTTCGCGAGTGTCGAGTGTCGAGTCTCGAGTCGACTGCATTATGCATAGCTTTTTTGCTCGCAGTCTAGACTGGGAGACCTTTGGTATTCCATGGGTACATACATATGTACATGTGTATGCATGCACTTACTTTACCCTAACGAGGTATCTAAACCGATTTGTTTTGGCGTAATGGATCTCCGCTCGAGAGTAAACGATGCAAGCCTACAGTTCCAGATTGGTTGTATTATATATTATATAGTATGAGTTGTACGAGTATATGATTCACCCTTGACGCGATTTGCTTTAACGATAGCTTTATGCCGTGTGTGTACAAATGGATTTTTAAATATTTCATTGCCGCTCTTTGGGCATATGCCAGCAACTTGTGTCTCCATAAACCTGGAACTTATTGACCAATTAGCGAACTCTCCTCCCGCACTTTCGGAATCTTCCTGTACCCGTTGTTCCACTTTATAGTTGCACAAAAAGATTCGCAATGGAAACTTTTCTGTATAAAACACTTTAGCAACTCGCCTTCAAATAAAGCGATGCCATGGCAATGATAATGAAGAAGTTCAAGGAAATTGGGCAAATAATTCGAATAGAGATAACAAAAGTTATACATATGTACATATGTATGTACCTGCATATGTAAGTACTCTGCTCGCAAGAGGAAGTTACTGATATTGAAATAATGAGGAGGAGGAATCCATACGTACGTAAATACAAGCGCACACATTTATTCTGGCTGATAAAGAGCTTTACCAATTAACTGTCAAATCAAGTCGATTAACTTGACTCAGAAACGCTCACAACGGATAATTAGTGTCCGTGAATCATGTGGAACTTTACACGAGTAAAGTTAAGTTTTTATTTGCATTTCCCCATACACGACGAGGCCCTCACCACGAGTGATTCGAGCCTGGAAGGAGCTGGAGGCCACCAATAATCTCAATTATAATCTCTTTCATCTGCTGTTATTGTTTCAGAATCTGCAAAAGTCGAAGGTATCCACAGCGGAAATGCTCTTTGGCCTGCCCATGCAGGACACGGGCTTCAAGCGCTACCCGCTACGGGCACGCGCCAGGATAGTTCAGTATGCCCTGACGCTGATACTGAAGCACAACGATGTGGATTATCTGGAGACGCTAAAGGAGAAGCTGCTGCGCTACTATCCGCCGCTGCCGGTGGCTGCGACCGGGGAGGAGCCGTCGACCATAACGTACATCTTCTACCCGGGAGAGTACAGGATGTGGGAGCTGGTGCCCTACACAGTGGCCTTCGTGCTGGTGTTCGCCTACGTCTACTTCTCCGTGCGGAAGATCGACGTGTTCCGGTCGCGATTCCTGCTGGCCCTGTGCAGCGTCATCACCACCGCCGGCAGCCTGGCCATGTCCCTGGGCCTATGCTTCTTCTTTGGCCTGACCATTTCGCTGCAGTCCAAGGACATATTCCCCTACCTGGTCATTCTGGTGGGCCTGGAGAACAGCTTGGTCATCACGAAGAGTGTGGTGTCCATGGACGAGACGTTCGACGTGAAGATCCGTGTCGCCCAGGCACTGAGCAAGGAGGGCTGGCACATCTCGAAGACGCTGCTGACAGAGATCACCATTCTGACCATTGGCCTGGCCACCTTTGTGCCCGTCATTCAGGAGTTCTGCATCTTTGCGATCGTCGGACTGCTCTCGGACTTCATGCTGCAGATGCTGCTCTTCTCCACCATCCTGGCCATGAACATCAAGCGGGCCGAGTACACCACAGAGGCCAAGCACCTGCCCAAAATGATGCTCAGCTGCACTCAGGGAGCGGGACGGCAGGATTTCCGTTTCTTTGGTGCCGCTCCGACCCTGCCGCCCTTTGTGCCCGGCTCCTTTCAGCGTTCGCAGTCCCATCCGAAGCTTTGCTTTGCCGATGCCGCTGCCGGAGAGCGGGCAGGCCTGGTCAATGGCCACGGTCACTCCACCCAGGAGCAGCGCATCCCCAAGCGCATCAAGATCGTCAACTTCTGGGCGCGCACGCGCTTCTTCCAGCGCGCCTTCATGGTCTGGATGATTGTGTGGATCTGCTCCATCGTGTACAACTCGGGTGTGCTTGAGCAGCTGTTCAGCATGCAGAGCAACGGGACCATGACTGGTACTCTGGAGCTGCAGCGCCGCCTCCAGGCGGGTCGCGGCGCAGTCAGCAGCTTCTTCGAGGGACTGAAAGCGGACGGGCATCGAACCCCAACCAGCCACCCAAGCAGCAACGGGTTTAGCACACCACTGGAGGCGCGTCCTGAGAACGACATCAATGAAACGGCCGAGGAGCTGCTGCGTCTGCGGTATCCAAACTTTGACCAGAACTATTTTCTGTCGAATTTCCACTGGTCGACGATTATGAAGCAGTACAACATCTCGCTGAGCGGCCACTACGTGACGCTGCTGCCTACCATCAGGCTGAGCCATGCCATAACGCCGGAGCTGGCCACTCTGCTGCGCAATCCCCAGGAGCAACTGCAGCAGAATTTCCAGTGGAAAGCCTTGGCTGCTGCACTGGACCCGCTGGACTTCAACGATGACGATGTTCGCCGAGAGTCCCCGATGGTGATGGCCGGCGGAATGCCGCTCGTGCCCAAGAGCCCCATGGAGATCTTCTTCGCCATCCTGTTGTGCTGCATCAGCATCTTCGTTCTCTGCTACACGATGGTCGTCTTCTATCGATGCATCTGCACCAGAAACTACGCCGAGTGGCGTTCCAGCTGGAACGAGTCCGAGGCCCCCCACAAACAAACCGAACAAATACTCGAGGGCGTTCCCACCCAGATCGCCGGCCACAAGCACCGCATCGAGTGCCTGGTCTCCGACGGGGCCTACATCATAAGCTGCTGCCTCAAAGGACAGATTCGCGTATGGGACGCGCGCAGCGGCGAGCGGCTGGCGAGCATCGCGCGATCGGAGATGCAGATCTCACAGCCGAGACAGGACGGACAAACACTGGTGCGGAAGCTACCCGTTTCGCCTGTGTGGTGTCTGGACTACTTTGATAATCTCATTGCCGTCGGCTGTGCCAATGGCCGTGTGGAGCTGTGGGAGTCCCCGGCGGGCGTGCTCAAGTGCGCCTACCAGGAGGATGCCAAGCGCAACCAGGGCATCACGCACATCCATTTGAACGGCGATCGTGTGATTGTAGCGCGTCTCAATGGGCGCCTCGATTTCTACCGTCTGGAGACATACTACAAGGGCAAGCAGATCGACTGGGGGTTCACATCCGCGTACCGACGCAGTAAGTCCATGCATATAACAGTGTTAGGCGATATCTGAAGCTGTATTAAATTGCTCCTGGTTTTCGCTTTCCCTTCCTTCAGCTCACGTGCGGACTGGTTCGACTGGCAGCCTGGGCCTGATGATGGGCCAGCAGCGATGCCAGCAGGACACAGTGCAGAAAACCACCAAGGAGGAGATGAAGATCACGCTCGAGGGAGTGCGCCTCGCACATCAGCAGCCCATTACCTGCATGCAGGTGGTTAACGACATGGTCTTCACCGGCAGCCAGGATCACACCTTAAAGGTAGGTCTCATTCCCTTCCAAATGCACCATACAAATGCTCATCTGCGCTGCTCTCTTGCAGGTATATTGTCTCAACAAATCGGATGCGGAGTACACATTGCATGGACACTGTGGACCCATTACCTGCCTGTTTGTGGACCGCTGGCAGCCTGGCACTGGCGGTTCAGGATCGCAGGACGGCCTCCTCTGTGTTTGGGATCTTTTTACGGGCGCCTGCATGTATAACATCCAAGCCCATGATGGCGCGGTCAGTTGTCTGGCCTGTGCGCCCAGCTACGTGATCTCGCTGGGCACAGACGAGCGAATCTGTGTGTGGGAGCGATTCCAGGGAAACCTACTGACTACCATCAACATCTCCAATGCCTATTCGAGCCTCCTGATGCTGACCCCGTCGCTGCTTGTGACCAGCAAAATGGGTAAGTGCCATTGTCAGACGTTTCGTGGCAAGCAATTGAATAATTTTTGTGATTTTGGCAGGATCTCTGATCGTCTGGGATGTACGTACCGGACAGCCGGCTCGCGAGGTCAAGCTGGACTTTGCCAATCTGCAGCTGTGCCCCAAGACCATGATGCTTGCCTGCGACTCTGTGGTCTGCGACTATGGCAACGAAATACGCGTTGTCCGATTCCCCATTGTGGCCGACAAGTGCCACTGAAGGCGCGAAATGAGGAGAATTCGAGATGAAGCTAGCACCTAAATAGAACATACATAGATCTAAGTTAACTTTCAGATCTGTATCGCCTTGAACTCGCTAATCTACCTGTGTGGCAGGTTCCTTCATTTACGAACTAATTAATTAACCAGTGGCGTTGTCTATTAACACTATAACTATGACTATGACTATATTTTGCTACGTTTTTAGTTTTAATATTTGTACACTGATGAATGTCTGCTAACTCCAGAGATAGGCTAAATACATAACTACCCTAAATGAACGATGATACATACATATTTACGAATATATATTTTTGCATAACTACATTTACTGTATTTACATAGTGTCTTACAGCGCCTAAGAATAACATTAAATGACGAAATGTTATATATAATACAATATTTATTAGAATCACCTACGCTTAATTTTCTAAATGGAAATAAAAAACATGAACGAAATTAATCGAGATCTATTCAAATACGAGTATGTGTTTATCTTACATTGGAGCATTGCTTTTCTTTTTTTTTTTGTCATCGTTATCTTTTCAGCCGAAGGCGAACTAAAGGAAATTCTAGAGAATTCTTAGATCGTATATTCTCTTTCTTTCATTTTTTCGTAGCGATAGGGGCAGGACGTGCCCACAGATGATCGAATATAATAAATAATATTAATATAATATATACATATATTAGTGCCATAGTTTCTACACTTTCCGTACTCTTTTTTTCTCACCAGCAACATAGAATAATGGATGAAGTATTCAACAAGTTGATGATTTTCTACCTTTGGGCTAATCCGCGGATAGAAAACAAAAACTTTCCCGGGCTTTTATTTTGCGTTTCAATAGCATTTTGTTAGCTCTATGATTAGTGCAGGTCATGGGGTCCATCAAGTTTTAGTTTTAATAATAATTGCAAAAATCATGCGGTCGCGAACGTACGAAAAATAGAAGTCGACTTTGACTTAATCTAGGAAAATGCAATATTCTAATGCGATAAATTTACTTTTAAAGATAATTAATGTAGCTTTCTATAAAGTATATCCACATAAGTTATTTTTTGGTCCTGGTCGACCAGACGGCGGAAATGCCCATATGTATATCCCAATTCAAATTGGATGCCGAGAAATGACGACTAAATAAACAATTATACGTGCATAAATACATATGTACATATCATATGTAGATGCTTCGTGTCGTGTCGCCGCAGCGTCTCTTAAAGTAAAACAATATTCTCACCAAAAGCTGCTCTCAATTTTAAAATAAAAACCGGCAAAATAACAGAACAGAGAGAAATCGCCGATGCGGGAGAGTTTCTCTCAGCTGAGATCAAAACTTTTGGTTGATTTGCGTCGAGCCGATCAGCTGTGTTTTCTCTCACATAAAGATTGTACATACTAACATATGTACATATGCATGTATGAAATGTACATATTTACGTACATACAATTCTTGGAAATTTTGTGTTCTTTGTCAACACAAAAGAAGAGAAACCAGCAACGATGAATAAAAAAAAAACGAAAAAGAAAACGATTGAGCGAAATAACAAAATGAGCACAAATACATATGTACATGTTTATGTGAATGTGAGAGGCATTACCCATTAATTAAGTGCATACCTGTTTAGAATTCCACATCGCATAGTTAGTTAGTAGTCAAAGCTTAGAACCTGTTGGAAGAGAACCAACTTCCGTGAGTGTAGCTGCTCGGCTATCAGATTGTAAGAGAGGAGACAGAGAAACCCCCACTGATAACACACACAGTCGTGATAATTGGAGCACTGGCGCAGTCGCAGGTTGGTGGATACCAACAGACCACCTTCACAGTCGATCCCCGCTGCCCGTACTCCTCATTCTCCGCACAGGGAGCGACAGTGGGGGAATTAGTAATCGCGCCTTATCTCCTGAGCAAAAAGAATATGGGAAAAATATTGTGTAGCTGTCAGTGCTAAGAGAAACATTGGACCCAGCGGACCGGATAGCGCTGCTTTCGATCGCGGGTGACACATAGGGACGTACATTGAGAAAAATGGGTTGGTGGAGCAAGAAGAGGGAAGACCAGGAAACGGACCGCTCCAGCGGATCCACTGCCAGTCGGGCTTTGGTGCTGCAGGATCCGCGCACGCGTGTGAAGACCACCAGCGCCGCCACAGCGACGACCAACACGGCGGTGCAGAACTCGACGATAACGGACAGCAACAAGCAGACTATCACCTTCATGTCCACCCGTCGGACGGTGACGCATACGCAGAGAGCGCGTATAACGGAAACCACAACGCGTCGCACACCGAGCCAGGCCGAGCTGGAGCTGCTCTTCGCGCAGATGAGAATGGGAGGCGATGGCGCCACGACGACCACCACCACGACAACTACAACGCGCGGCCGACCGCCCAGTCTGAACGGCGTGGCCCTGCGCTCCACACCATCCTTCAAGGCCACGACAAACAACAAACGCTCCAGCACTGTGCTCAAGACGGAGCAGACTACGGTGACGAAGAAGAACGGACGCAACGTCACCCAGCACCTGGAGACGCAGCGTGTGGATCTCAAGGCCAAGGGAAAGCCCTCTTGGCCGCCATCATTTTTTAATTCGAAAAACTCCGGGGCCACATCCGAGCCCTATGTCTCGCCCTACGCCCAGAAGCCAAGTCTAGCCATTACTTATGTGTCGCCTTATGCCAAGTCAACCACAACCCCAAGCTCCAGTGCCAGCACAGTGGCTAGTGCGCCAAGTGTTTTCATGGCTTCCAAGCCGACTACCAGGCCGCTTCTCTCCACACCTGGGCCCAGACCCTTTACTAGCATTACCGCCTCTACTGGAGCCACACCCAAGAAAACCGTAACCACTCACGATGCCCAGGGGGTAGTAAAGCCCACTTTGTTTGCCGGCGTAAGCACAACCAAGCCAATTGGGACCAAGACCAAGCTGAAGGCCGCCCGAGTCTACATATTCAATAACGAAAAGTTCGACAGCAAGAACGAGTTCCGTTCTGGCAGTGCCCAGGACGTCAAGGTTCTGCGCACCACCTTCGAGCAGCTCAAGTGCAAGGTGGAGGTCATCAAAGACGCCACACTGGCCACCGTCAAGAGTACGGTGAGGATGTGTAAGTGGCAAGAATGTAACGATACCAGGCCGATGATGTAATTGTTGATCTTTTCAGTGGAGACAAAAGACTTCGAGGATAAGAGTGCCCTAGTCCTGGTGTTCCTAAGCCATGGAACGCGCCACGACAGGCTTGCTGCTAGGGATCTTGATTACTCGCTGGACGACGATGTCCTCTTCCCCATATTGCGCAACCGGACGCTGAAGGACAAACCCAAAATGTTGTTTGTCCAGGCTTGCAAGGGCGCTAATGAACTCGGAGGCTTCATGACAGATAGCGCCCAGCCAAACGGATCTCCCAACGAGATTCTAAAATGCTACAGCACCTACGAGGGCTATGTCTCCTATCGCACTGAGGATGGCACTCCCTTCATCCAGACCCTCTGCGAGGCTCTGAACAGATCGGGCAAGACAACCGATATTGACGGTATAATGATGAGTGTCCGAAGCGTGGTCAAAATGCAAACAAAGTGAGTACAAAACCCCTTCATTCACACTTTCAAACCTGAACTTAATTCCTTCTTCCAGAGACGGCCAGATCCCATCCGTCACCAGTACCTTGACCTCGAAATATGTTTTCGGAGATTACGTCTAAACTGCTATAGTATTATTATTAGATCGATCTAGCCCTATATCCCAATGTATTTATGTATTTTATAAACTGTATTGCCCTTACTGTGGGCAGTAACATTTAAACCCGTAAGTTTCCAACGCAGCGAAGGTGTCGGCACAGCCATTACCGTCTGTCGGTTTTAAGGACTCCCAGAAAAACTTTGTTTTTAAAAAAATAATAAAAAAAAACTTTAAAAAATCTATAACTCTGATGTGAGGGTATCAAAATCCTCGATCTCCAAGTCGAGACCGGCCTTAGGGCGGTGCGCTGCGAACAAGGCGGACCCAATGTTTGGGCTCCTCTCAGAATTTTGTTAACTTTGCCAGTAACCGTTTCCAAGCTTATCTACTATGTCGCAAGAAAGATAAAACTCTATGAATAATATTTCAAAAACTTAATTTCAATAAAAATGTACGAAATGCATTAATTTTTTCATTTCAGAAGAATAAACAAACGAAAGGTAACGTTTTGAGTCGCTGCAACTGCTGCGACTCTACTTTTATACTCCGCTTATGAGGAATTCTAAAATTTTTTATCTGCTTACATTTTTTTGTTACATCTCTCTTGTTTCACCTCCACCAGAGGGCGACCACTGTACGAGGCAAAGTTTGTAGAGAGGTGATGGTAGATACAGCGCTGGGGGTATAGCCACTCAAAATTCCGGCTTTATAATATTCAATTGATCTCGATTGTCATATGGTAAATACGATTCTGGATGTTCGGTTCACATAAATTGTGAGCCTTTTCGTCGGAAACGTTTCGTTCTGTGCGCTACGCATATCCACCTCGACCTCAAATATAATATAATCCTTGACTCTTCGAATACCGGGTATTAAAACGAAATGATAACAAATCTTATCAAAGGCCACCTCGTCTCATGTCGTCGTAAAAATCAAAGTTATACTTCCTATCCTCTTTTCGAAGTGATGCCCATTACTTCCAGGGGGATACCTGCTATTCCATTTTTTTGAGTACCCAATAATCGAATCGAAGAAAGAGTTCTTAAACACTCCTGATCCACCATTGGTAATGGCTCATAGGAAGCTATCATGCTTGTTAAAGTATACTCTTGTATACTCTTTTTTCCACTATTTATATATTCGTATACAATCAAGGGCTGCATCATTTTGTATTTTTTATACCCGTACTCAAAAAGAGTTAAGGGGTATTAGATTTGTGGTAAAAGTGGATGTGTGTAACGCAGAGAAGGAAACGTTTCCGACTGCATAAAGTATATATATTCTTGATTAGCATCATTAGCCGAGTCGATAGAGACATGTCTGTCTGTCCGTCTTTTTTGACGCCTGGATCTCAGAGACTATAAAAGCTAGAGGAACCAAATTTTGTTTCCAGACTCATGTGATATCACACTGCTACAAGTGTATTTCAAAATTTCGACCCGCCCCCTTCCGCCCCCACAAAGGACGAAAATCTGTGGCAGCCACAATTTTAAAGATATCGTATCGTAGAGAATGACCATATCTACCAGATTGCCGAATCTGAATAAGATCGGATCATAATTATAGCCAGAATGAAGAAATTCATTTTCAGTTGCTTCCCCTGCCCACACCAGCTACTCATTTTCCTTCTCGCTCGTACGCTCGCCGCGTTCAGTGCGCGAGCAACCCCTAGCGGAGGAAAAGTAGAATCTAAATGGTACATTTACAATCTACATGTTAGATGTAGAATATACACTGTATATGTATATGTAGATAACATATGTAGCAAAAAAATTTAAAATTAAAACTTTTTTTTTTAAATTAAAAAAATTCATAAGCTCAAAAATGTATATACTGACTGAGTACGGGTATAAGTAGAGCGGCATGCTCTTTAATTTGAATTTTAAATGACGTGGCACTTGGTACACTGTCCTATATAAGTTATGGGTTATTTATAGTCAATATTTATATCCAGACTGACAATCATACATACATTCACAATATTTACAATTATACTGGAATTTCGTTGGGCTTTTAGTGCAGTTCTACCTGAAGATCGAAGGGATATTCCCTAGAATTTAGACTCTGTCTAAAAAGCTGCGTGTGCTGCCACGCCACATCGCCCTTTCCGCCCATCAGCTTGGCAACGACCTGAAATTCACTAGAGTTCTCAATGAAACCCTTTCCATCGCTGGTTTGAACGGACACGTCGATTTTGCCATTGCCAAATGTTTTCGTTTCGAATACTAGTTTGTGGGACTTCACCTTCAGATTGGTCTTGGTAAAATCAAATTTCCAAATGATCTCCGCGCAATCCGTGTCCTCCAATCGCGCCAAATATGCCATTTTCCAATCGCGCTCTACTTTTCGATAAATATTCTTCGAGGAAAATTGAGCACTTTGCCAAGTTTTATAAGTATCCAGCAAAGTAATCTGCCCATCATCTTCGAGCGCATGGAATATATAATGAGTTACATTAATTCTATGAATAGTTCTACTGATAATTATCAGTAAGAGACCTACCTTTGGTGTAGCGTTCGTATGTGTCTGTGGCACAGCTGTAGCGCAAATTGAGCTGACATTTCTTCAGCTCAGCTTCGTTGGGAGTAAACACAAAAATCTGCAAAGAAATAATGCATTCATTTAAATCGCAAACACATCATACTAAACACATATGTAGGTATATATAAAAAAGCGCAAAAATGTCGGTATACTCACATTGGTAAATGTGTGCTCGCCACGCGATTGACGCCACGACAAGCTTCCTGAGCTCCGGCCTTTAAGCTCGTTCTCAGTCGGCTTGCTGCGTAATTGGGAAAGCAAGCAACAGCGTTGCGTTGATGATTAAATTGGAATGATGCAGTGTTAAATGGCTTAAATTCTTACCGCTCCAGGGTCAAACCGATGACCTCAAACATGTTTCGCTGACTGAGGAACTTTTTCCGTTCAGTGCTGCAGTTCTGCTGCCGCTTGTCTCGAATGGCGTTGAGCGTCTGAATGAGCTCCTTTTCGTCACACAGCTTGCGCAGCCGAAGAATCTCTTGGTGATTGTTCGTGTAGCGCCAGGTCACATCCTGGGCATCGTCACGAGAATAGGCAAACACATAGTCGATGCCGCGTTTCCAGCCGTGCTGATACATGAGCGGCGAGTCGACCACGTTATCCGATGGGTCCACGTGTAGCCAGCGCATTTGCGTCTCCGAGAACACTTCAGTCCACACATGATCGAAATGGGAATGCACTAGGCGCGCGTCGTAATCCAGGCAACGGCATAGGAACGTAAAGCAGTTTGCGTACTCGCCGCATCGGCCTTTCCGGGACACCAGGAGCTGGGATATGTCGTTATAGCGATAGAACTTGCTCTCCTGGCCACAGCAGACGTTGACTTCCACACGGACATCACCTTCCGTCTGCGTGCGGCGCAGCTTGCTCTCTTCGCTGCCACACACCTGGCATTGTATGTTGTTGACCCACTCGAAGAACTGCGTGTTGAACCAATTCACCAGCTCAACCAGCAAGAGATCGCGAATGCAAGGCTCTTTCTCGCGACACTCCCCAGAGGCAATAAGGTCCTGCATGTCGATCATCTTTTCGCTCGCCTTGGAGGTAAGGTCGTCGACGGGAATCAAGCTGCGGCCAGCTGCCAACAGAAGCTCGTCCTCATACTGCATGACGGCATCGGAATAAAGCTCCAGCGACTGCAAAAATCGATTGGACGTGCGCTGCAAAGATAAATCAAAATTAGGTTCCGACTGTGATTGATCAGCGTGCAAATGTGTGCTTACCAGCACTCGCGGAAAGGCAATACGTTGGCGATAGGGTACCAATGGTTTTATGAACAACGGCGAAGGAGTGCTGCAGGCGGCGCTTGGTTGAGCTGGACCTAAGGAACAGAAGCCACAGAACCATGGTAAATGTACATCCTTAGGGTAAATATAAACGTTATACCTTTTGGCATGGCCCCACTGAGCCAAGCAGTGCGCCGCTCGCTCAGAACATCGTGGTACTTCTGAACCTGCTGCAAGGAGACATCACCAGGAAGCGTATACGAGTTGGAGTTGGGGGCGTGTTTGAAGCCGATGGCATCTAGCAGCTTCTCGCATCCCGGTAGGGAGAGCAGCTTCTCCTTGATGGCCTTATTTTCCAGCCGGATTGTCCGGAACTTTGTGTTGTTCGGCTGGGAGAGTACATTCTCCAGCAAAACCAGCAAAATGCGCACCGCCTCGAGATAAGCGTTCTTTACATTCTGTTGCTGCTGCTCTGTGGACCTGGTGGTCTTCGGCTCTATAAAGTGAACACACTCCAGGTTAATGTCCACCATGTTGATGCCGCCAGTATCGAATTAGATGCTGAGTGTCTGGATTAGTGTTTTCGTTGTTTGGAATGGGGGGGAGGACTAGTGGGTGGTAGACAGTGTGACCGCGGATATTTCGATAAAATATACCGCCTGACCCTTAGAAATATTCCAAATATACCTTCTCATTTTCGAAATATACCGTAAATATACTGAAGGACACGACAAGATGCGTTGATATTCCTCGATTTTGTTATTCTGTTTAATATTACTAGCTAGCTAGCCCTCTCAGCCTTAAAAAAACAATTTTATCCAATTTCTCAATTAATTTTGTACAAGATTGGCTTGTTTTCAGAACTCCTTATTATTGGATTGTTTACATAATAAGGTTTGAACCAAAACGGCCAAAGCACAAAACGAAAGCATAAAACGGAAAGTAAGATAACGGTAAAACGGTGAAATATGATTTTCGGAGAGTTGGTCAACAAATTTTAGATCCGCCGTCTCTACTTAGATTTTAATGAGCAATACCTTAAACGACGCCGAATTAATGCACCTATACCCCAGCACCCCAGCCGAAGGGTGGGACAGAAAATTCAGCTGCGACACATTCTGAGTAAGAACTTTCAAATCTATGTACAGTATGGTTAGTGGCTGAAATCACATTCTATTTATAGCTGCATTTCATAGCTTGTTTTTAGAAGGAAAAAGTTCATTTCAACCAGATGTAAGATACATAAGTTATGTGAAAAAATGCGCTACCTCTGAAAAAAGGTAAAAAAAATTGCATTTCTTCAAAAAAATGATCTGCCATAAAAAAAAGTTAATTTATCACTAAGCACTATTCAAGCCCGAAATCTTTCAAAAAAGGTTGGTTTCGTTCGAAGGGGCGAAATGGTTTTATCAAACAGTAGTTCCCGAAAAATAAAAACCATACTATCCACCAAAACAGGTAAATCTGGAAAAATTGGTTGGCAAATGAAGCAATGATATAAAAACGATGGGATCTGTGATAAAAATACTTACAGCGGAAATTTTAAATTTCTCATGCCACATAAGCGAGCCCAATGAGTTTCAAGAGGATGAACTCTATTTTACAACCCGCTTAGTAGGGACACTTGCTCTGGTAACTGCAGATGGAGCATAGCTGCAAAAGTTGGATCTGTAAGATCTTAGGGCGGCAAGTAAAGACCGTGCATGTGGACGGTCTCTACGGCTTTCCCACAAGGACACTTTGCGGACACTTTGCCAGTTGCAAGAAGAAGCTGAAGATCCTGACGGTAAGTTACGATCATCCACTTAAGGTTTCCCAATTTTATTCTTGCCTTTTGCAGCCGAAGATCCGCCCCCACACACCCAGCAAATGGGGATAAGTCCCGCTCTGCTCAAAGAAAAACCCTACGAACTGAATCGCCACAACACCAAAAGTGAAAAATAATGAAATAATGATGATACAAGATGCAAGATGATCATTGCACCATAAAAAGTATTATTCATTTTCGTATTAAATAACAGATCTGGATATTCCTATATGGGGGAAAATGTCAGCAGGCACACCACAGCCACCTGCTGATCCAAACGAACCTCAAATAAGGTTCGTTGAACCTTCCATTATCAAGGACGAAAACTACTATCAACGACGCTTTGGAATAAATCACCCAGAATCGAGCCAAGCAGCAAAACTCAGCCTAACCTCGGAGCAAATGCAACATTTCGGGAAGTTGCTTTATCGATCAAAGAGGTCTGACTATATAGCGAACAGTTCCAATCAAATGGAAAGCCATTTCGCATTCCATTAATGAGTAAATGAAAATTATGCTTTATTTAACAATTCCTGGTACTTGATTAAAAAAGAATGTAATTGATTAGAACTAAGCATTAACATTATACATATGTATATTATCCAAAACCATACCTTCGACAAATACATACTACTGTAAAGTGTGCATAGTATAAGTTGTACAACAAGAGCCCTTTCATTTCTTTTTAAGTAAGCAATTACGGCATTTTAACGTTCATAATTTTGACTGTTGTGTATAATTTTAAAAATGCATTTCAATTGCCCAAAGTACACAGTCAATCTCACGTCGAGTGCACTTCTTGTCCTTAGTACTTGTAACGATAAATGGCAACGCCAGCGACGCCAATCAATATGGAACCCATTAGATAGCCCAAGAGTTTCAGCTGCAAAGAAATAGAATACATAGTTAAAAGTAGGGACAGCAATTTGTATGTGATTTAAGAACCTTGGAGTTCTCCACAAGGGGTTGCTTTTGTCGGGCAGCAGTCTTTTGTTCCATTTTCTTGGCCTGGCCCAACATCTTCTGATACATTTCTTTTTCGTTGTGTTGATCGCGACGCGCCCTGATGAAGAAGCCTGGCCAGATCTTGTTGAACTCCACGATTTTCAGGCTCGAGAGTAGCCACCTTCTGGAACAACTTAATCGCACCCTGCGTGTCGTTCTTTCCTTCCAGTATCTAGTGGGGGATTAACCAAAAACGGTTGCTCACACACTATGAACAGGAATAGAAACTACATTTTCACTTACTCTGCCCTTGCGATACAAGGCTTTTGGGTTATTCGGCTGACAGCGCAAGACGTTCTCCACAGACTTAAGGGCTGCGTCGAAAGCGGAAATTTTGATCTGAGTCATGGCCAGATTGTTGTAGACAATCAAGCGATCATCCAGAATGGTCTGCGTTTCACTGTTGGATAGCTAGTCAAAGGCATCATTTAGATTTCACTGAGACACGTTACTGTTAGTTTTGACTCACCTGCAAATCTTCTTTGTCGAATTCAGATTCCGGATCCCCATCACGTGTGTCCAAATAGTCGAGAGCGCGTCTGTACAGGTGAATGGCAGTATTGTATTCCAACCGCTTGAAAAAGTAGTTGGCACGCTCTTTCTTGCGGGTGCTGCAAAGGGAGAGAGTTGCTCTTGTGATCATGTGATATGGACAGGCAGCTGCTGTGCTTTAACAAACCCATATTTGCGGATCACTTCAAAGGTCTTCAGATCGGCAAACTCTTCGTATTTGCTATCCAGCAGCTCTATTTCATAGGTAAGCTGTAAGATATAGACACACATGAAGCTCAATAATCGTGACATTGCTGCTTTTACTTACGTGCGCATTAGGTGGGACGATGTAGTCCCCGTCGTTGTCTTTTTTTAGCCCAAGTGTCCCATAGCCAAATCGGGGATCCACTAGCACTTCGGCGACTTCGCCAACTTTCAGCATGGGCAGTACCATATCCAAGCCCTGTACCACCTCGTAGTCGCCAACATGACACTGAAAGTTCTGTTCCTCCTCCACCACTTTGCCATCCAGTTTGCCGGTGAAATTTATGGTTACCAGTTCACCGCGACTGGGACTTTTAGCCTCTTCCGGTGCCTTCTTGATGATGCGCTTTATCAGCTGCTTGTTGCCCAATATATCACATTCACTTTCACTCTCGGCCTCCTCTCCCTCACCGCCCACGAGAGTCGTTGTTGCTGATGTTTCTTCAGAGGCTGCCTCGGCTGTGGCCTTACGTATATCCTTCGTATCTTCGGCATTGGTCAGATCCTCGAAGGAGCTGCTGCTAGATTTTTCCGTGTCCATGTTTATCCTAGAAGGTGAAAGTGTGTAAAATATTGGAACATGGAACAAAGGGCACTGGCAAAGGCGTGTTTGGTGCGTGACTTTGCCGAAGAGCAGTCCACGGTCGCCTGTACCTGAACTGCAACTTACGCTAGTGTATATCTACGATCTCTTCTTTTTTTCGTGTTATCAAATAAAATATTCGAAAATAAATTAGAAAAATTCACATTACAGCAAAACGAAAAAAAATTTACAACTTTGGCATTTCACTGCTAGCTAGAGATGGGCAATCTGCTCAGTCACTGCGACTGGGAAATATCGGATGAATATTTAAAATGATATAAATAAAAATAAATTAATTAACAATTTCACTTTTACTGTGATTTCCTAAAATTGCCAGCAACAAAATAATAACTATTAAGCTGAGTGACATCTGTATGATCATACTCTTCTCTCATCTCCTTTGCCTACTATCGATACCAGAATATCGATAGATCGGTTCGAGTGTAACCAGAGTGCCGAGAATCAAGTTCAATTTAAATTTCCGTTCATTAGCTTTCAACGGTTCGGTCGGTCCACGGCATCAGCGCGGTACACCTCGAGATAAAACTACAGATGAAAAGAACGCGTACGCATGCCACATACGTATAACGATGTAAACAAAGAGATAGCAATAAAAAAGGCGGTACAACGAGTGCATTTTACAGATACACACACCCATGGGGGTGCGTATGTATGGATAAAGATACTGGCATGCGAGTGCTGCTCTCGTACACAAAGTGAAATCAGACTTCGAGCAGCAACAATATTTTGCAACTGAACAACGACAGCCACTATTGTTTACCATTTGTGCGATTCGTTTAAGCGGATTTCTGTGTTGACTGTGAAATTAACACTTTCCTATTGGGCCGAGAGCGGCTATTTGTCCGATCCCCCAATGTGGTAATGGCAAACACAGTGGCTGCAATAAAGTTATGGACTACTTCCTTCTGGCAGCTAATGAGGCTTATCTTGAACTTGATGCTACCGCTGCATTCGAGCATAAATCGAGCAATGCACTCGATTAACTCCATGACACAATTGACGGCATCAGTCATCAGACATCAGGTTTCCCTGTGCGCTTCCTTGATTAGCCATTTTCGCTTTTATTTATTCGCGAATGCGCAATCATTTTCCTACGGATCGTTCGGGTGTGTTGTGTGCTGTGCGCGAATCTGTCGTCCAACCTGTTCCACCTGCATTTCGCACTGTGGCTGTGGCTGGGGCTGGGACTGGGATCGGAATCGGGCGACTCGGGGACTTGGGGCTGGGTTTTGCTTCACTTGGCGCTGCTCGGGCTTTTCTTTTACGTAACGCTGCTGGCCAGGCACGGCACAGGCCCACATCAACCTAGTTTCGGTTGTTATTTTCACTCTTTGCCGACTGCACTACGCGCCAGTCATCCATGTCCAGAGCCACAAAGTCGAGTGGCTGCTCCACCAGCCTGCTCCTACACTGGAAGACCAACAGCAGCAGCAGCAGCAGCACGTTTTTATTATCGCACATTTCCCTTGCGGAATATTAATGGGCAAGCCCATACGAGTACTTTGAGGAAATGTAAATCCATAGTTCGTTGGCCAAGTAAACCTGTTCCTCCCCAAAGACACCCCAAACCCCCAGGCTCAGTGACACCCAAAACGGAAATCACATTGTGCATAGCCAAGTGAATCACATCAATCGCATTAATAACTCGCTTTTGAATTCCATTCGGTTTAGTTAGAAGAGCATTCATCGGAACTGTGCCAATTCTCGCGTGTCAAGTGCCAGACCACATTCGAGCACTCAAAGTGAAATCCAATTGGAAAGGAAAATAAAATAAAATAGAATAAAAGAAGTACAATCAAGCAATCATGGGCAAGCAAACGCTTCGCCAAATTTCGGCATTTGGGCTGGTCTCAAGTATGTTCCTACTGACCTTAGTGCCGGAGACAAATGCCTATGGATTTGGACGTTGCCCCAACTACCCATCGATGCCAAAGTTTAATATGAGCCGTGTAAGTTAAACTTCGTGCTGATCTTTAGAATACTTAGGCAGTACATTGAGACCACTTATTGAAGTAGGTCATTGTCCAATAAGTTAAATAAGTATGCACTCCAGATGGAATTTAATCTCTAGATTCACTTAATTTCTCATTTAGTTTTTCATAATTAGAAATTGGGTTTCTCTTCAAACGAAGCAGTACTGAATCGCTATACTTTCCTAGCGCCAGAGTTCTTGTGGATAGTTCAAACCCTTTCCAATTTAAAAATCAATTTAAACCTGTCGCATATTTAATTAATTAGCACAAGGCGGCCGCAGACCTTTCTTCATTTTATGGATTGTGCATAAAGATGAACTTGAACCAATTTAAGGCCACCAAATCCGATCCATCCCCAATGTAAAAATGCAAACCAGTTTTACAGAAGGAGACAGCCACACACACAAAAGCTTTACGAGCATGATGGCCTGGCCTGGCCTGGCCCGTCCGTCCGTCCGTCCGATGGTAAACAAGCCACTTACTTGTGTATTTTTTAAAATACAAATAAAAAAAGAAGTAAATCCACAACTTCCAATAAAAACGGCATTCATAGGCATGCCAAGGACAACAAAGTGAACTAATTGCAGAGCCCCATTAGGAGGGGACTTGACGGAGACGTGGAACCAGTGCCAAACAGTGCTGCCACTGTCGCTGTTGGTGCACAATCAATTTAGCAGCACGAATTAAATTGATTGAGCCTTGATTTGCATAAAACGATAATCTCTCATAATTGGCCCGGCGAGAGCTCGCACCGTCACCACATAATAAAATGCCACCACATCATCTGCGTACATCATCCAATTGAGCTCTGGACGGGCGTATATAAAACATCATTTGACATCATTAGCGAACGCCCCCCTCCCCACACCATTCGCCCCGCTCTGAACTGTTGACCCAGGGGCAAAGACCTCGCCTCGTCATCCACAGATGCATCATAAAGCCGACTCGACTGCTTCTCCGCATGACTTTGAACTGCAAGAAGCCAAAAGTCTGATGCCGCTACTCTACTCTGCTTTTTTAATGGTCAGCCACCAAAACCAGTTCCAACACAAAAATGTTTATGTTTTACGCATTATTTGCTAAATGGTGGATGCTACCGGCGAGGAAGGAGGGGGGCCGGCGGTGACTTGTTGTAGTAGTAACCCAGTTAAATGCGAGAGAAACGCAGGTGAAGCGCGTGCCAAGCGCAAGAAAGGGCCCAACTTTCAGAGTCGTAGCTCCAAGCTAGTTGGTTCTAGTTCCATCTGAAAGATGGTTATTAGTTATTAAATTAATGAATGAAAATTGAATTTCAGGTTCTTGGCCATTGGTATGAGGTAGAACGTTCGTTTTACCTTCCAGAGATCGCTTCGGGCTGCACCACATTTCAGTTCGAGCCATACAACAAGGGGGAACAGTCCAAGTTCCAAAACTTCAAGCTGGGAGTGGCCATCAAGAACATCAATCGTATGTGAGTAGAGCCAAGCCCATCATAGATCTTGAGCCTTATAGGCAAGTTTTATCCTCCGTACTAGAACTGGCAATCCGAATGTGAATATTGGCTATGCTACGCCCGAGAACAGCAGATCCTCCATCATGGATTTCAAGGTGAGATTCTTTCCACTTCGTTCGCTGCTCGCACTTTATCATAGCTGTTATTATTCTTCCTAATTTGGACAGTTTACCACTCGATTCCCGGATGTGATTGCCCGTCTGTTGCCCGGCTCCGGGAAGTACCAAGTGCTCTACACGGACTATGAGAACTTTGCCATCCTTTGGTCCTGCGGCAGCATTGGCTCCCTGGGCCATTCCGATCAGATATGGATACTGGGGCGTGACCGCGACTTCGAGGTCGACATACGCTCCAAGGTGTACGATGTGCTGAAGAAACTCTCGCTGGATCCGGACAGATTGATCATTAGCAAAAACAAAAACTGCCCCGAGGTGCTCTGAATACAAAAAACAAAAACAACAGCTCCATGGGTCATCCATCCATCCCCATTTGTACATTTAGGTTCTCATTTGGTTAAGGAACACATATTGAATTTCATGCCTAATCATTTAGGCTGCTGTGATATCGAGGAGTGTGAATCGGAGGGCGTGGCGTGGCGGCCGGGCCGGGCGGGAGGAGTGAAATCCAAATACAAAAACAAATTACCACTAAAAAAATCTGTATCTGTATCTGCAATGCATTGGGGGAATTTCGCTATAGCAATTATCACGGTGATCCTAATTAATCGGGAATAAACAGTCAGCTTACAGCCAGTCCAAGTCGCGAAGCTCCGCTGGAGGCTCTGTCACAGTCGCAATTGAAAAACTGATCGAAAAGGTTCTCTAAAAGGAAGGAAGGAAAATGTCAACATTGAGGATTTTGCTATGCCTGACTGTGCTATTAGTTACATGGGAAATGTCTGAGGCCAGAGGAGGAGGCGGCGGCGGCGGTGGACACGGAGGAGGCGGTGGACACGGTGGCGGTGGACATGGAGGTGGTGGACACGGAGGAGGAGGACGTGGTGGAGGATTTGGAGGACGTGGTGGAGGATATGGAGGACGTGGCGGAGGATATGGAGGACGTGGAGGAGGATATGGAGGCGGCCCACACCATGGAGGATACGGATACGGTGGCGGCCGACCATACTATGGCTATGGCGGATATAGAGGGTATGGAGGCTATAGAGGCTATGGATACGGAGGCGTTCTACCCGTTCCATTGCCCATTCCCCTGCCGGTGGCCTACAGCGGCTGCTACTACGACGACTACGGCTACTACAGGTGCTGAGTAGGAGTGGGTACGATTATGAGTGGGGGTTTATTTATACAAATTACATTCAACATTTTAGTTATAAATTCTGATTATGTAAATGTCCCAAGAAAGTTGGGCTGTGTAGACAGTTCTCTAAATATTTCATATTCCTTATTGTTTTGATGGTCTTGCACAATACACAATACACAATGTAGATAAATGCATACCGAGTTTTTTTTGTGGTGGAGTGAGTGCTTCACTTTGATAATGGCTCACACATGCCACACATGCCATGTGGCCGTGGGCTGCTTAATCCTAGTAAAAACCCATTAAAATGCAATCTACATACATATGGTTATATGGAAAACTTAGGTCTACGGACTAGATATGAGTACGCGTACCACCTGATTAGCGTGGCTGACATTCATGATGCGTTCGTTGTGGCAAACTAATTCGAGTAGAGACCAGTGCCCGGATCAGAGGGTATCCCTTTTCATAAATATAACAGAATAGTACCGGGTTTACGGAAGGCTGCGCGTGGAAGCATCCAAAGAGAGACATCAATTCCTTAGAGTTGTGGAATGGAAACATTGCAGGGTTTCACAACTGTTCAACTTAACTTAAGCACAATCTGCGCCTGCCCCTCTGATCTGGGAAATCAATCAATATATCAGTATGTATATCAACTATATATATCATCAATGGTATATGTGTATAAAAGAGTGTTTGTTGCTGTATATATAGTAATCGTTGTATTGCCTGCCCCGGAAGACTACGGACGAGCATTCTGTTTACGATTTATGGATTACGGATTCATTGCAGACGTGTGAAACGCGACGGAGTTATTGCTGTTGTTGTTGTTTTTGTTCGGATTCGATGGATTGCTCTAGAGCATGGCCTTGCACTCGTTCTCCGCTATGCTGTGCTGGATGCAGTGATTAATCTCGGCAAAGCCCGGTCGCTCGCTGGACTTGCGGTGCCAGCAGCGACGCATCAGTGCGTAGACGGAGAGCGGCGTGTTGTCCGGACAGCCGAGGACATTACCCTCCTTGATGTACTTGATGACCTCCTCGTGGGTGAGCCCGAAGTACGGCTGCAGGGCAAAGGAGAAGATCTCCCAGAGCACGATGCCGTAGGCCCACACATCCGACTCCAGCGAGAACTTGTTGTACAGAATGCTCTCCAGCGGCATCCATCGGATGGGTATGAAGTCGTTCTCGTCGCCCTTGTAGTAGTCCTGCAGATAGATCTTGTGCGAGAGCCCAAAGTCGGCTATCTTCACCGTCATGTGCTCGTTGATCAGGCAGTTGCGAGTGGCCAGGTCGCGGTGGACGAACTTACGCTCCGACAGGTAGAGCATTCCCGCCGCAATATCGGCGGCCATTTGCAGCAGGTGCTTCTCGTTCAGCTGCAGGCGGTCGCGGGGCTGGGCCTGGTGGGTGGCAAAGGGTGAGCAGGCACGCAGGAACTCGCTCAGATCTCCCGGCGCCATGTACTCGAAGAGCAGGCACATGGGCCGGCCCAGGGCGCACACGCCCAGCAGCTTCACGATGTTGGGATGCTCAAACTCGGCCAGCAGGCAGGCTTCCCGCTCGAAATCCATTTGCATCTGATCGCTGGCATCGTCCTTGAGCATCTTGACGGCCACCAGGAGATCGTCCTGGCCAGGCACCAGACCGGGGGCCTTGGCCTGGAACACCCGGCCGAAGGCCCCCTGGCCCAGGGAGCGCACGTACACAATATCACCCCGTGGATACTCCAGCTTCTCCAGACGGGCATTCTGCTTGCCCTTCGTATCCTGGATGGCCACCGTGGTGAGGGTGACACAATTGCTGTGGATGGTGGCCGTGCTGCGGATGGTGCCCCACTTGGCCAGGGTGTTGGTATTGCCTCCCAGTGTCTCCCGACTGGTGGCCAAGTTGACTCCACACTCGCCGGCCCGCATCGAGGCATTGCAGTCGCCACCACCAGCTCCTGCACCAGGTCCGGCTCCTCCCGGCGGCTGGGAGTAATCCTTGTGCTTGGACAGCTTGTAGATCAGCAATATCAACAGGTGGAGGGTCACGATCGCAACGAAACCAATCCCCGCCAGCAGGAAAATCATCGAGGGGGTGAAGAACTTCTCCATCTTGATGGGTGTGTTCAGGTCGCCGGCATTGGGATCCACATAGTCGGCTGGAAAGATGTAAACAAGCATTAGGTGCTGCTGGAAGGTGATCAGTTCTTCGACTCACGACATATGGGAATGTCACAGTGCTGCCAGCGCACGGATTCGTCCACGGTATAGCACCAGGGCTGCTCCTCCTCTCCGCCCGCATTCCGGCAGTAGTTCTCGCCCTCCAGGAGCTGTTGAAACACCAGTGGTGGCTGGATGTGCTTGTGCGGATGCTGCGTGTCCCAGCGCTGGCAGGGAATGCCCGATTTGGTCACGTTCATAGTCCCCAGATAGAAGCGTCCGTTGCCATTTCGACAGTCGTCTGCAAAAGCCAAAAGAATCTCGTCTGTTATTGGAGGAACCATCTCTAAAGGAATGAGCGGCGAGGGCGAAACTCACAGCTAGCTTCCGACTCCTTGATCTCAGTGAGGCCTATGTACGAGCAGTTGGGCCGCCGCATGGAGGTGTCGTAGTGCGGCAGAGCGGAGCAGTTGGGCAGCCGAAAGGTGCCGCGACTCTTGATGAACATGTTGCGCTCCTTCTTCTCCTCGATGAGCACCCAATCGTTGTAGCAGAACTGCAGGTGGGTGGCCTGGCAGTCCTCGAAGCAGAGCGGAACCTTCACAGCCCGTCCGTCGTCCACATGGCAGTTGGGAAACGCATAGGCGCACAGCATTTTCTATAAAGGGGGTGATCGATCGAAGGAATAAGATTAAATAAGACACCTATTGTCAGTGGGATGCTCACCTCAGCCGCCTCGCGGCACAGACCCGTGAGATCGCTAATTAGCTCGTCCCAGAGCGCCGTGGTGGTCTGCTCATTCTTCCAGCCACCCGTGGGGTCGTCCAGGCTATACCACACCTGGCCGACAATGTACTGCTTGCACACCTTGCCGCTGTAGGGGGCACAGTAGCCGTTGTCCTCGGCCCGCTCCTTGTCTTGCTCGTGATGACGCTGGTGCTGGTGGTGGCGCCGTGCTGGTTCCTCGATGGCGTTCTGCGAGTTGGCGTGCGCTCCGCTGGTAAAAAAGAACACGCACAGTCCCACGGAAACCACAAAAACCAACAACCTCGGTTTTTTCCTCATCCCCAAAACTGGCCCCCCACCCACACTCACACTCCCATCGCCACCCACTCCCACCCTCAACCGGGCCACCATGGCTGCGTTTCTGTATATGCACGGCCGAAGCTTTGTTTTGCGCACTCTTTCTAAACGAAATCCTCGCAGCGACTCGCGATTTCACTCATCTCACACAGCTCCAGGCGGATGCAGTGGCTCTTCAGCTAATCTTTAGCCACTTTCTGGAAGGTTTTGAGTTAGGATACCCGCGGAAACCTGTTTATATTCGCAATGTTATTCTCCGTCGACGACGCCTTTTCACCGAATACCACAAAAGTTGACGACGCCAGGCCAACGGACTAGGCAGGGGTTCACAGGGGTGGTTTCCACCACAAGAACAGGGTTGTTAAATGCGCGGCAAAAGCCAAACCTTGACTTTATTCTGAATGGAAATTATGGTATAAAATATTTATCATTTTGCAGTTTTCTAATTTTCCTGGTCGGGATCATCCCCCACATTGAAATCTTCATTCTGTTCCTTATTCTGATCGTCTTCTTCCTCATCGGGAATGGCCTCAAGTCCCTGGAAAGAAATGGGGGGCTGGCTATAGCACTGGGCAACGGAATTTCCATGGGGGCAGGAAGGAAAACTACAGGAAAACTCTACAACGACCAATCTTTCACTTCCGCACTTTACGTTTATTCACTTTTGCACTTAAGTTTTAGAGAAATTTCACTTAGATCAACTCAATCCTTCTTCTCATCTGGAATGGCGTCGAGACCCTGCAAGAAAATCAACGGTGTCTCAATAGAGAGGATCGGTTCTGGGAGATTATAAATGAACGTGCAAAATGGGCAAACAATGAAGAGACCCAACACCAATGGAACAATAGAGGATCGGTTCTGGGAGATTATAAATGAACGTGCAAAATGAGAACCAACACCAAATGGAATGCAAAAAAAATAAAAACAAAACGAAACGAAACACTAACCAACAAAATGCAGAGAATATGGAAAACACTTATCAACAAAACAAATACCACTTACATTCATCAAGTACGGATTATCGGTCAGTCGGAAATCGCGTTGGTACATCACACGGCTGAAACGCTCGTCCATGTTGCGACGGAAGGCCTGCGGGAGTGTAAGAAAACGGTTAGAAATCATTGCAAAGGTCTTACAGACATCTGTAAACTATTTGCCACAAGCTGCACACCCGCGGAGCTTGGAATATGTTAAATAAATTCCGTGTAGTGCCCAATCAACTGCGATTATATAAGAATTTTGGATTGCTCGGCCAGAAGGCAGCGATCGAACTCACATTGCCCAGCGTGAGCTTCTGGACGCCGTACATGGCGTATATGGGCACGGACAGGAGCACGGTGATGATAGCGGCACCAGGTAGGATTTCGAACCACATCTTGTCAAGAAAAAGTGTCTTGTTATTTTTTGCACAAACGGGCACAAACGGGACACGGACAAATCAGCTGTGTATATAGTGCTGTAAAATTCCGTCTTGATATCGCACCAAAATACCGATAAGCGTTTCGCCCCAGTCCAAAATATATTATACAAAAATTATATATATCGATATATTTATATATCAAATATTCGTTCAATTGTTCATTTTTTCTACATACAAAAAACAGCAACAACGCGACAATTTAGAGCACACAGCGAGAGCAGCAATAAATTCGAGAGTATGAGTATGGCTACAAGCGGAATTGTCGAGTCATTTCCCACTGGTGCCCTGGTGCCCAAGGCGGAGACAGGAGTCCTAAATTTTCTGCAAAAGTATCCCGAATACGACGGTAAAGATGTAACAATTGCCATATTTGATTCCGGTGTGGATCCTCGGGCTACCGGACTTGAGGTGAGTTGGCATTTTTAATTGTCGCTTGGATTGGATTGGATTTCAATTTCACTGGATGCACTTGTGTGCGTTTCTGTAGACGCTTGTCGATGGTAAAACGATTAAAGTGATTGAGCGCTACGACTGCTCGGGCTGCGGCGACGTAGATATGAAGAAGAAGGTCACTCCAGATGAGAATGGAACGCTGAAGGGTCTGTCTGGCACCACTTTGACGCTCAGTCCCGAGCTGCTGGCCCTAAACACGGACGCCGACAAGGCGGTTCGCGTGGGATTGAAGTCTTTCGGGGATCTGGTGCCGTCCAAGGTGCGCGACAATATTGTAGCCCAGGCGAAGCTGAAGCACTGGGACAAGCCCCACAAGATTGCCACGGCCAATGCCAGTCGCAAGATATCTGAATTCGAGTCACAAAATTCAGGTAAGTTAGTTAAGAGAATCTTGCACAGAAATTTGGGTGTATATCCTCCTTTCAGGTGAAGCCCCAAAGCTGCCGTGGGACAAGAAAATCATCAAAGAGAACCTAGACTTTGAGCTGGAGATGCTCAATAGCTATGAGAAGGTCTACAACGACGTTAAAACCTCGTACGACTGTGTCCTCTTTCCCACGGCCAACGGGTGGCTAGCGCTCGTCGACACCACGGAGCAGGGAAACCTGGATCAGGCCCTGCGCATTGGCGAGTACTCGAAGACGCACGAGACCCAGAACGTAGACGACTTCCTGTCGATATCCGTGAACGTTCACGATGAGGGAGATGTGCTGGAAATCGTGGGCATGTGCTCGCCTCATGGCACCCACGTCTCGTCGATTGCCAGTGGGAACCACAGCTCCAGGGACGTTGATGGCGTTGCACCAAATGCCAAAATCGTGTCCATGACCATCGGAGATGGGCGCCTGGGATCCATGGAGACAGGCACTGCTCTGGTGCGGGCCATGACGAAGGTAATGGAGCTGTGCCGCGAGGGCAGACGCATCGATGTGATCAACATGAGCTATGGCGAGCATGCCAACTGGTCGAATTCCGGGTAAGCGAGTGCGAATGGCCTAATGGAAGCTAACCCAAGAGTGCCTGTTTCTTTAGCGAGTTTGATGATAAGCGTCGAAGGGTAAAGAAGAATAGTGGGTGTTCGAGGTAAATGCAACCACCAAACGTACCAGAACTCACACTCTCCACAACTGTCCACTCCTCTTTTTCTACGACATCTGACATCAGATAAACACGCTACAGCAAACATTCACAATTCACCTGTGCGATATCAATTAAATTAAATGTCTGCTCTGCCCCCCCCTAATCATCATTCAGCCGCGTTGGCGACCTAATGAACGAGATCGTGAACAAGTATGGCGTTGTCTGGGTGGCCTCCGCTGGCAATCATGGTCCAGCGCTTAGCACGGTTGGCACCCCGCCCGACATCAGCCAGCCCAGCCTGATTGGCGTGGGTGCGTATGTCTCGCCCCAGATGATGGAGGCCGAGTATGCCATGCGGGACAAGCTGCCCGGCAATGTGTACACCTGGACGTCGCGCGATCCCTGCATCGATGGCGGCCAGGGCGTTACGGTCTGTGCACCCGGTGGAGCCATTGCCTCCGTTCCACAGTTCACCATGAGCAAGTCGCAGCTGATGAATGGCACCAGCATGGCCGCCCCCCACGTGGCCGGTGCGGTGGCTCTGCTCATCTCCGGGCTCAAGCAGCAGAACATCGAGTATTCGCCGTATAGTATTAAGCGAGCCCTTAGCGTCACTGCCACCAAACTGAGCTATGTGGATCCCTTCGCCCAGGGTCACGGACTGCTGAATGTGGAGAAGGCCTTCGAGCATTTGGTGGAGAATCGTCAGTCCAAGGATAATATGTTGCGGTGCGTCCTCGCTCCATTGGGGGTTTTCGATTGGAGTAAACAATATTCTGAATGCGTTCTTGCAGGTTCTCAGTTCGCGTGGGCAACAACATGGCCAAGGGCATCCACGTACGCCAGGGCGTACTCCGTAATTTCATCGATTACAATGTCAACATTGAGCCGGTCTTTTTCAACGACAAGGAGACGGGTTAGTATGAAAAACAGACTCCGAGAAGCACTCACTAAACGTTTCTCCCTTTACAGATCCCAAAGACAAGTTCAACTTCAATGTGCGTCTGAATTTGATAAGCTCGCAGACGTGGGCGCAGTGTGGCTCCTTTCTGGATCTCAGCTATGGCACTCGCTCAATTGTCGTTCGCATCGACCCCACGGGACTTCCTCCAGGCGTACATAGCGCAGTGTAAGCCCTTCCCCAGCTCTCAGTAATTGTTCCGGCAATTTATTGCTCTCTGTTTTTCAGTATTCGAGCCTACGACACGGACTGTGTCACCAAGGGGCCTCTCTTTGAGATCCCCGTGACGGTGGTGCAGCCCCATGTCCTGGAGTCTGATCTGAACACGCCAATCTTCGAGCCAGCCTCATCCAAGGGGGACAAAAGCGTTGAGTTCCAGCCGAATACCATACAGCGGGACTTTATCTTGGTGCCAGACCGTGCCAACTGGGCAGGTGAGCCGAGCACAGCATTCAATTGTTCAGCTACGGTACGAAATGAAATGTTTCCGTATTTTTACAGTGCTGCGCATGCGCATAACCGATCCCAATCGTGGAAAGGACACGGGAAAATTCTTCCTACACACCAACCAATTGCTGCCAAAGCAGTCGTGCCGGAAGAGCGAGACCATGAAGATCATTTCCGTCAGCTCGGACCATGAATCGACCACCACCTTCAAGGTGAAGGCTGGCAAGATTCTGGAGCTGTGCATAGCCAAATATTGGTCCAACTATGGCCAGAGTCACTTGAAGTACAGCCTGGAATTCCGTGGCGTGGAGGCCTACAATCCCAATGCATGTGAGTCGCCATCGAAAGCGAGTCCTGCTCCTTCGATCAACTGATCGACGCTTAATCCACGCTTTTCAGATGTAATGCACGCTGGCAAGGGGATTCACAAGCTGGAGATTGAGGCCCTGGTGGCGGAGGATATCCAGCCACAGCTGCAACTGAAGACTGCCGCCGTTGTGCTGAAGCCCACCGAGGCAAAGATATCGCCATTGAGCGCCACCCGCGATGTCATACCAGAGGGACGACAGGTGTACCAGAACCTGTTGGTGTACAGTCTGAACGTGGCCAAGGCGGCGGAGGTGTCCTTCCATGCACCGATCTTCAATGATTCGCTGTACGAGTCGGAGTTCGAGTCCCAGATGTGGATGCTGTACGATGGCAATAAGGCCATGGTGGCCACCGGCGATGCGCACTCGCAGAACTTCTTCACCAAGCTGGAGAAGGGCGAATACACCATCCGGCTGCAGGTGCGGCACGAGAAGCGCGATCTGCTGGAAAAGATTTCGGACGCCAATATGGTGGCCTCGTTCAAGCTCGTTAACTTCCTCAATCTCGAGTTCTACGAGAACTACAATCATTGCATTGTGGGAGGACGCAAGCTGGCCGCGGCCTTGGTACGGCGATCCACTCGAGTGGTGTACGTGGCTCCCATTAGCCAGGAGCGGCTTAACAAGGCCAATCTCCCGGCCCAGTGTGCCTGGCTGTCTGGCAACCTGATCTTCCCCAAGGACGAGGCAGGCCGTCGTGTGGCCATTCATTCATTCAATTACATCCTCAATCCTGCCGAGAAGAAGACAAATTCATCTGGCAACGGCAACAACTCTGGCACTGCCATTGCAGCAGCAGCAGCGGCAGCACCCGCTGCTGTCAGCGCCAATACAGCCAAGCCAAAGGCTCCGGCCACTCCGCAGGCAGCCAAGTCCGTCCTTCCGGCCCATTCAGCAGCCGGCGATGGAGTTGCCACGCAGACGGACACTCCACCGGAGGGAAATGGCAGTCCCGTCTCGCCCAAGAAGGGGAAGACTAATTCGGATGAATATGCCGAGATATTGCGTGACTTCCAGTGCACGCACATAGTCAAGTGTGGTAAGAGATTGCCCGTATCCCATATCCCATACCCCTACGGGTAGAATATCTATTGCATTGCATTGCCTTTTCTTTGCAGAACCGGAAATGGCCGAGAAGATCTACAACGAGGTGGTGGAAGCCCATCCCAAGCATTTACAGGCCCATCTGCTGCTCATCCAGAACATCGAGGCAGCGCAGCTGAAATCGGCTTTTCCGCTGACATTTACGAATTGCCAAAAGAGCGAGAAGCCCGAGGGGGACAATGCCGACCAGCAGAAGGAAGAGCAGAAGAAGCTGCGCAGTGCCCTGGAGCGCGTCATCAAGCTGGCCGATAATGTGATTGTGGAAACGGATGCGGAGTCATTGCTCTCCTACTACGGGCTCAAGAACGACACTCGTCCCGATGCGGCCAAGATCAAGACGTATGTGAATGAAAGAGGATGCAATTTGATTTATTGTTTGTATAATTCACTTTTAAAACTCTTTCAGCAACATGGACAAGCAGAGAAACAATCTCATCGAAGCATTGAGCAAGAAGGGCATAGCCATTGCCAAGTTGGCTGTCCTGGATGAGAGTCTGAAGGATCGGCTGGCCGAAATAAACGAAGTGTACACGGATATTATCAAGTTTGTGGACGCCAACGACTCGAAGGCTATACAATTTGCATTGTGGCATGCCTACGCCCATGCACACTATGGACGCATGTACAAGTACATTGTGAAGCTGATTGAAGAAAAACGCACACGCGAGCAATACGATGAACTGGCCGCCATCAACAGTGCCTTGGGGCACGAGCACATTACGGTAGTTATTAAACGCATGACGGTCACCTCCTTCCCAAGCACATACCGTTTGTTCTAAAACTCTGCTCAAATATTAGGAAGTAGTAGTATGTTCACAAACGCAATAATGCGGCTACCATTTTGTTTTATATCTAAATTAAATTAATCAAATATGTCTTTGAATAAACCACAAATGTAACGGAACACTTTGAATCTTTGTGTGGTGGTCTTACTACTGCGTGCCCAAGACTTTATCAACACTGCCACAGCCAACCAAGCATTCGGCATTTTGTACGCTTTCGTTTATGGTCATACTAATTGCAGCAAAAAAACAAAAAACAATGCAGACGCGCACGCGAGATTAAAATGGGTAAGTTTGACAGAAAAAATGCAAATCAATTGTGAAAAGTGATCTTATTGTCAACCCCCAAGTGATTTTTAATGGGTGTATACAAAAATATCAATCGAAATGTAGCTAAAACATGATTTTCCGTGATACGCAGTTGTTGCCTCTGCTGCCGTTGTGCATTTGTGTTGGTGTGCTGTGCCGTGTGTGTATGTATTGGCCGATCGATTTTATTTTGCATATTCAAGGACAAGCGTAATCCTGCGGGAAAGGCCTCCATCCTGAATGGGGGCGGCTCCAGATAATGTGCAACATTGAAAGGGAAATCACAATTTTAACGTCGCAACGCCTCGCATCCGCCGATGACTCAAATCGCAAAATCCCGGTGCACCGATGAGAGGGTTGACGTTCTGACTCTTGACGGCTATTATCAGCCACACACAGCACAGCACAGAAGAGCATTCTGGTGCTGGTGCTGCTGTGTACATACATTTGTTGCTTGCGCTGCTTCCCTTGCATGCAGCGGTGTGTGAGTGAGTGGGAGTGAGCGCCTGGAGAATGGTGGGGTGGGGAGGTGTGTATCTTGCAGCAAACAAAAGGTGACAGCGACAAGGCGATGCGTGGCGGATGACAAATGCGGGTGCAGCAGGCAGCAAGGCAATCTGAATTCTGTGTCAATGTGCTCACGCATGGGAGTGTGCTTGCGCGAGTGTGTGTGTGTGTGTGTACGGGCACGTTGGAGGGGGGAGTGGGAGTGCGGAAAAGAGCTCCAAGCTAAATGAGATTTTTACGTTTTGGAGAGGGGAGCCCCTGGAGCAAACGAAAATCACTGGGGAAGTGCGTTGGCGTTGGTGCGCTGGTTCGACCAGGGCCGGATTTGGTTGGGATCAGTGGATGGATAGATGCATGGATGGATGGGGACCATCGTTAAATTAAAGTGTTTATTTATTGCCATCCTCTCCCTCGTTGGTTCCTCTGCGGACCAATAAAAACATCAAAGATAAGGCCCTGATCTCAGGGGCATTCCGCTGCGCTGCGCTCCTGCGTGCGGGCTAGTGCCAGATTATGGACTTGAGAATTTAATGTGTTTATTTTTAAACTATATTCTCCGTTCTTTCTGTTTTCCGTTTCCAGAGTATCCACAAATTGATTTATACGAATTCCTCACAGAGTCCGAACTGCAACAGTACTACAATGCCGTCAAGTGAGTGACCCAGAAATTCGATGCGTTTCCCCCCTAAAACTCATCCTCCTCCCCTGCCACTGGCACCCCTTCTCTTCCCACTCTTCCCACAGAAATGAATTGAAAATAACGAACGCGGCTCAATTTAAATATGCAGCGGATGAGGATTTGCGTTTCATTGGCCTCTCGAGGCCGGAAATCCGAAGACTGCGTAAATACTACGAGAAGCACTTCCCCCACAGCTATCTCAGCAAGATCAAGCGTCTGCTGCAGACCCCCACTACGATGGTGAGGCGGGAGGATGGCGCCGGGGCGGCTCAAGTGTCCCCCGATGGCAGTCCAGCCACGTCGCTGGCAGCCAAGAACGGTTCAACATCGCCCAGCAAGGTGCCCAACAACAAGCACATCATACCGGCCGACTCGATCAGCGTCAACAAGCAGCTGGGCACCGGAGAGTTTGGCATTGTGCAGCAGGGCGTCTGGTCCAATGGCAGCGAGAGGGTGAGTAGCAGCGGAACCCCCGTAAACGATGATCCCCATTGATTAATTGCTGCCCATCCGCAGATACAAGTGGCCATCAAGTGCCTCTGTCGCGAGCGGATGCAGTCGAATCCCATGGAGTTCCTGAAGGAGGCGGCCATCATGCATTCCATTGAGCACGAGAACATTGTGCGGCTGTACGGTGTGGTCCTGGCCACAGATTCGCTCATGCTGGTCACTGAATTGGCGCACCTGCGCTCCTTGCTCGAGTGCCTCAAGGACTCGGGGCTGCGCGTCAGCTTCCTCACGATCCCGACACTCTGCGAGTTCGCCCTGCAGATATGCAATGGGATGCGTTACCTCGAACAGAAGCGCCTCATCCACAGGGACCTGGCAGCCAGGAACATTCTGGTGTTCAGCAAGGACAAGGTCAAGATCTCCGACTTCGGGCTGTCGCGTGCTTTGGGCGTTGGCAAGGACTACTACAAGACCAACTTCAATGTGAACCTAAAGCTGCCGATTGCCTGGTGTGCCCCGGAGTGCATCAATTACTTGCGCTTCACCAACGCCTCTGATGTGTGGGCCTACGGCGTCTGTCTGTGGGAGATGTTCTCGTACGGGTTCCAGCCCTGGGCAGCCCTCACCGGCCTCCAGATACTGGAGGCCATCGATGCCCCCAACTTTCAGCGGCTGGAGCAGCCCGACTGCTGCCCCAGCGAGTACTACACTTTGATGATGAAGTGCTGGCAGGACGATGCGGCCAAGAGGCCCAAGTTCGGTGAGATCTACGACCAGCTGCCGGACATGAAGCCCGAGCAGCTCAAGGCGGTGGTCAACTGCACGGAGCCGAAGAAGGACCATTTGATGTATCGCCAGGGCGACATCATCAGCGTGTTGGACCGCAACACGGGCTCACCCTTCTGGAAGGGAGTGCTCACCACCGGCAAGACCGGCTACTTCAATCCCTCGAACACGGTGGCCTTCCTCGAGGGTCTGCCCTCCAGCTCCAATCGCGACTCCTTTAGCCGGGCGAGCGACCATCGCATCAGCAAGCGCAAGCTGCGCACGGAGATGATTTCCAAGCCGCAGAACGATTTTAAGCACACCGGACATGTGGGCATCGATGGAGCCACCTTCGGCGACATTGCCTTCCTGGGAAGCTCTCAAAATGTAAGCAGACATACTCTCCCATCTCATCCAGAACTAATTTCTCCTATTCCCCTGCGTTTCGCAGTACAATCACGTGCCCAAGCAGATAGTCACACCGTACAAGCCGTCGGAGGATATTGAGCAGACGCCACTGCTGCTGCCACCGACACCCACGAGCCCCGACTCGCTGCAGACGGCCAGTGGTTACTTCCCCGAGGGGTCCGGCACCAACAGCCTGAATCCCACATTCATTCCCTCCGCCGAGCACACACCCAAGCTGATCGCCACCAACGGCCAGAGTTCGTTTGATTTTGCCGCCAGCGGATCCACCAATCCATTCTTCCTCAACAAACTGGACGACGAGCAGCTCGAGTTCGCCCTCCAACAGCAGCAGAACAACAACATGCAATCTAGGGGAGGCTCCCGCAGTGTCCTGCAGGATGATCCGCACGAGTATCACGAGATATCCGACGATGAGATGGCGGCCGATAAGCTGGACTTTGGGCCCTCGCTGCTGGACGAGATCAACTCGATGTTTGGATCGATTAGTGGTGCCTCTGGGGGCCATCCAAAGTCGCCAGGATTTGAGCAGGTGAACAGCAAGAACGAGTTTGCTGAGCTGTCGGTGAAGCTGGGCCAGAAGCCGGGCGACTCCAATGGCAACAAGCATGGCCATGGCCACGGCCTGCTGTCCAAGAAGAAAACTTCTGGAACTGTGAAGCCCATATCCGTCAAGGACGAGAAGATGCTCAACCATGCCATCGAAATAGCCAACGAGATAAGCGCCAGGTGAGACGATACCCAACCTCAGGCTCAGCCCAAGAGTACAACCCATTTCTGTGTGTGTTTCAGATCGATGATTGACCTGGTTTCGGACCACGCCCCTGCCACCCATAGCCCCAAGCGAAAGTTTAGCTTCCGATTCCCGCACCTAAGCAACAACAGCAGCGGCGGCGGTGGCGACAAGGCCCACAGCTTTGGTGGCGTCGGTGGCGGCTCGGCCAGTGGATCCGGGCATACGCCCACGCATGCGGGCAGTGCCTCGCCCTTCTCCAAGAAGAAGAACTTCACCGAGGAGTTGCAGAGCATTCCGGACATACAGGTGAGGCGCAGATTGGGTCGCACGAGTTTGCTAGCAGTCTGGCTATCCTGGTCTGGAGTATCTAATCCATGAGTTTTCGTCCACGTTTTGCTCTTTCTCTTTGCTCTCCTGCTCCCCCTCCTGCTCACGATCGTTGTCCCCTGTTCATTTCCCTGTTTTCGTTTGGCATTTTCTTTTGGTTGTTTCGTTTGCTCCTCCATCGCCCCATCGACCCATCGCGCAGCGCTTCCGCTCGCTGAGCGAGATCAAGAACGGCACCGATCTGCGCGTGCCCATCTTTGACAAGGAGAGCTCCGACTTTCTCTTCGAGAAGTCGCGGGAGATACTGAGTCGTCCGCTAAACATAGACAGCTCCCTGGAGGGGGCCGCTGAGGATCGGCAGCAGCCGAAGAGCATCAGCGACAACATCATGGACATTGAGAACACGCTGAAGGCCCTCAATCTGGACTTTATGCACACGTACACGGAGCTGGACAAGAGCGACTCGAACGACACGATCCTCAACGATCAGCAGCTGCCGCAGCTGATCAGCCTCGACGATGGGATCAGCAGTGCCACCGGCAGCCTCAAGTCGGCCGTCTACAGCTACAGCAACGGAGTCCAGACCATGTTCGACTTCAATGCGGCCACCAGCCACCTGGACAAGCATCTCCAGTACATGCACAACCAGGCACAGATGAGTGCCGTCGCTGCGGCGGGCGGGCCAGAGCCCAAGCTGATGGAGGACAAGCGATCGAGCACCCCGGACACGGGCTTCGCCTCGCGGGACACCAACATCTCGCTGTCGCGCCGCAGCAGCCAGAAGTCCAGCTACAGTCCACAGGAGAGCTACTTTCCCATCAAGTCCGAAGTCCTGTTCAGCGCCCCGCCCGTGATCATGACCAGTGGCGGCTATCCCAGCCTCAAGGACGAGCTGG